AAGTTAGCACTGCCCACTCGATAATGACAGCATATCGAGGACTGCAATTTTGTGCAAGTCAAAGAATTCAACATCTTTAAAAGCTGTTTGAACCAAGTCTAATTACAAGAAGAAGCCCACAATCTCTGCACAAGTTTATTTCCTGTATTTTAATCAACCCCGGGGAGGTCTGTCATCATCAAGGGCTGAAAGGGGACTGTCTCCTCACAGCAGCGAATGGAAAACCTACTTTGAAGCTAGTTTTGTCACTTAATTATCCCCAACCCACTACCAGCTACTATTCTGCATGTCCCTCGTGCCCTCCGTTTCACCACTGGTGGATGCACTACAAACTTCTGACCCGCTCAGCCAAGCTCACACATTAAAGAAGAAATAAAATAATTTGGTCACTCACTCAAACCTCAACCGCTTGTGGGACACTGATGTGTGCAAGTGGCTGCCGAGTTACAAAATACAGTCAATCCTCTTTACAGTATATCTGGTGAAGCGCTTGGAAACGTTTCAATGACGTGACAAGGCGCTATATCAAATGCAAGGCTTATTATTATAGCACGACGGCCAAATAACTTCAGGGACAACCTCGATTAAGCATGGAAGACGCGCATTTTCCCCAGCAACATCCTGGTTCAAGCAAGTTTTTAAAGTGAAAACAAATCTGCAGGTATTTATCCAAGCATTGGCCATGTGCACACCTCTCTGAATCAGAGCCAAACTGCAAGCAGGGCACACAGTCAGCGAGCACGCTGTTCTCCTGAGAAATGTTCAACCGCTGACTTAAACAACAACAAAAATTGGCTTACCACTTTCCTGTCCCATGATGGAGTTTGAAGAGCTACAAGTTTTTTTTTTAAAAAAAATCAGGATTCTGCAATTTCACACAAACCCATTTGTGAAGTCCGCAGCACAGTGAATCTCCACTCAACCCCACCAGTGAAGGGCAATCTTGAACGTACAGTTGAAAATGGAAGGGGGGTGTGGGGCGGGGGGTGGGGGGGCGTGTTGGAAGTGGAAAGAAAGCTCAGATTTCAGCTATCAGGCAAAAGCGACGAGCCCATTGAAACTGCAGTCCGCAAGGTCACGTCAACAGCTCGCACCAAATTAAGCTGCCAGTGAAACTCAGGCCTCGAGTTGCTAGATTTACTCTCTGAAGGTCAAAAGGTATTCTAAACAGGGGTCAGTGTATGTGCGTGTGTGTGTGTTGGGAGGAAGAAAGGGAGAGAAAGGCTGTTGGGAGTCGAAGCACTTTACACAGGGGCAAGGCCGTACACTTCTAGGTTCTATTAAATGTCACCGATTTCACAGAATTAAGATTGCTGGGCGCATGCTGTCAAGCCTCAACACCAGGCTGCTGTTGAAGACCGAGTTGAGGAGTTGAGGGGTGATTGAATTCAGTTGTTTAAAATGATAAAGGAATTCCATAGGGTGACCACAGAGAAATGATTTCCTCTGGCGAGAGGGTGAATCCAGAACAAGGGGCCATCATCTTAAAATTAGAGCTAGGCCACGCAGGAGTGAAATCGGGAAGCATTTTTTGTAAAAAGCAAAGAACAGCGGAAATCTGGAGCCCTCTCCCGCCCAAAAGACTGTGAATTATGGCCGGAACCATTCACATTTAAGACTGAAGTGGATCAATTTTTGTTACGGTATAAAGGGATATGGGGCAAAAGTGAGTAACTGGAGTTGAGATACAGATCAGTCAGGATCTAACAGAATGCCAGAATAAGGATTGAGGAGCTGAATGTCCTCCTCCTGTTCCTATGATGCTCAGACTAGGTGAGCACACTGTTCAGAGACAGTTTGTTACACGAGGAATGCCACAATATTCATCTAAATTGGATTGCGACTCCAGGATAGATTCCCTCCTCTTGCATGCTTCAGCCAGTTCTCATCTTCTTCCCCCACACCCATCAATCCCCTGCAAAGTTCACATCACACAAACAAGCCCATGCTTTCTCCGGGTGTCATTCTTATACCAATCCTTTTCAGCGGGCTTCAGTCATTTGCCCCAACATAGATCAGACACAATGCCAAACGCAAAGAGCCGGATATGATCCTTCTCATATAGTTGGGCACGTCTTTCCGATATCTTTAGTACAACACTTTCAGGAGGGAGCTAGGCTAGCTCTAAGAGAGTATGGTTCCATTTGCAAAGAAAACATGACGCCGAGTATAAAACTGGTACTAACCATGCTTCCTCAGGGCACACATGGCTTTGTACAGTTTTATACTCATGTCATGCTTTTTCAATGAAGCAATCATTTATCCTCTGAGAAAGCTTCACATCCAGTTCATCACCACAAAGGTTTCTCAATGATATTAAGATGCCACAACCTAGAGTGGTCTCAATGTTATAATAACACTTGCATTTGATTATACTGCCTTACCATGTCATCGTCAAGACGTCTCAAAGCACTTCACAAAATATACTGTAAAGTGCATCAATGTATATTTTTGTGGGCGAAACACGGCAGCCAATTGTTGACTTGTTCCTCGAGAGAACATCCTTTCATTATTGTCAAATGGCACAGGAGGTTTACATTCGCAATCACCTTCTCATTCACTGTAGTTTCCAACCAGTCTTGGTATTTTACCAGTATGCCAGCAACACTCGGAAGGTTAAAAGCACGAGTCTCCTGTGGACACAGAAATCCCAGTGGGACGAAATGTCCTTCCTGTACATGTGTGCAGCCACAGAGAAAATTATTAATTTATCTGAGGGACTGTTGCCAGGACACAACAACAATAATAATGTGGAGTCCTGTAGCTCAGTGGTTAGACCACTCGCTTTGCAAGCGAGACACCTGGGTTCAACTCCAGACAGGGCGAAACCTTGGGCAAGTTTCCATACTCCACAGAGCCTAATAATAATCCCTCCAAAATAAACAATAATAAATTGGTCATTTTCAATCCACGACTGTTTGTGGGACACTGTGTGCGCAATTGGCTTCCGCGTTTCGCCCACAAATATACAGTCAATTCACTTTACCGTCTATTCTGTGAAGCACTTTGAGATGTCAAGAAGACGTTTCAAAGCGCTACATCAAATGCATTTGATACAGCACCTCATCACGTTGCCAAGACGTTTCAAAGCGCTTCTCAGAATATACTATAAATTGAATCGACTGTACATTTTGTGGCTGAAACGCGGCAGCCAATCACACATAGCATCATCCCAATATTATTACCCAAGGAGCAACTCACTTCTCCTTTTACAATAGTGCCACAAGATCTTTAATTTCCACCGGCAGGGCGCCCCTTGGTTTAACATGTCAGCCAAACAACACCACCTCAAAAAACACTCCCTTGGTACTGGTCTGGAGCATCAGCCTAGACGTAGCTCAATACACCTCTATGGGACTTAAATGCACAAACTTCTCACCCAATGGCAAAAGTGCTGCCAAAGAAGTCAAGCCGACACCTAATACAACATAATTAATCACAAGCATCCCAAACAGCAGATTCAACCCACAAAAGCACATCTCAAATAAATGGATTTAGAACATGAGTGAATCGACCAACAACAACTTGCATTTATATTGCACCTTCGCGCTGGCTAACGCCCCGGATCACTTCCCAGCCGTAACATTTCCTATCTTTCAGACAAAAATGAAAGAACTGCAACCACGGTGTATTTTTTCTGACAATCCTATTCCTTTCAACAGGGATCACAATGGCTTGCGTTGCCATCAATCTGCCCCATTCACCGGCGACACAGTCTCACTGTGACCTTGGCTTCCATTTTCTGTCCTTCCACAAGTGTACAGCCTGGACAGAGCTGGCACGTACAATCCATTTCCTAGGACTCTACCAAATAGAACTCTCAAATCAACTGCAGTCACAAGCACAAGACGAACAGGTGGCATCTGCCCTCAGAATTCAAGAGCGGAGATCAGCAACTCATTCAAACCTGCAACCACTATGGGTAGTGCTGCGTGGTGCCTGCACCCACCAAAGTCCATGGGAGAAAACCCAAGTGAATCCCCAGGACCCCACCCCAACCATCATACACACACACACACACACACACCTCCCACTGCTGCACTAGCGATATATAGAGTTGGCAACAGGAACCTGCAGGCTCAGGGGGTAACGCAAAGGCAAATGACATTTACACAGCTCCGCTCATGTCGGGAGGGCGTCCCGAGGGCGTTGGGCGATCAGGGATTTGGACCCGAGCTGGTGATTGGGATAAGAAAGGGCGGAGGACAGGGAAGGCTGACAAGAACCACAACTTCCATTTACGCCACCCGCGGGGCAGCCTCCCAGAGCATAGGGGGTAGGAGTAAGAAGGTGACCCGAAGAGGCAGGCGAAGAAGGTCTTGAGGCGCGTTCGTTGCGCCCTGACAGGCACCCACCCAAACCCCTGGCACACCATCTGCCTCCAGTCCACATCAGGCTTAAGGGAGAGAAACAGAGAGAGAGAGAGGGGGTGGGGGGGGGGGGGGGGTGGAGGCAGCGTCACCAATTCCCACTCGCGCCTTTTTTTTCCCCCCATCGCCCCCCTCCTTGCCTCCCTGAGAAAGGGGGGGGGGGTGTGTGGGGGCTCAACCTCACTTTCTCTCAGGCCTAAAGCCTCGGCCTTTCCCGCAGAAGTACCCCCCCACTCACCCGGAGGGAGGGCGGTTGGTGACGGGGGAAGGGGACGGGGGTAACGCTTCACACGTGGCCGTGAGGAGGATGAAGGGTCCGGGGGTTGGGGGGTGAGCGGCTTCGCCCGCCAACAAAAGGCCTGGAGGGAGAGATGGATGGGGAGGGGGGGAGGGTCGGGTCGGTGCCCACGTGAAGCCGGCGGCCTGCGCTGCAGGCTGCGGGTGGCTTTTCTACCCGAGGAGGGCCTTAGGTTGAGAAGAAGCCTGGGATTTTAAGCCAAGCGGGTTCCACCCACCCATCCACCCGCCCTCCCTCCTCCTCCTCCTCCTCCCTCTGGGTCTCTCCCTCAGCAAAAAAAAATCCAGCGCCCGCCTGAGGCCTACCCGCGCCGGGGCCTGGCCTGCACTCACCATGCCGCCGCCGCTCTCCGCCTCTCCAGCTTGGGGTCGCGCTGCCTGTCCGCCGCTCTGCTCGGCACTCATGGGCCGTGGCTGGGGGCTGGGGGGGCTTGAGGGGCTGGGGTTGAAGCTGGCGCTGGGGCTCGGGGGGCGAACGCGAGGCGCGGGGCCGGGCCTGGACTTTGGCGGCGACGCTTTAAGACCCGGAGCCTGACCTGTGACCCCGGCACCTTGGCAACGCCGCCCCCCTGCTTCCCTCCCTCCCTCCCTCCCTCCTCCTCCACTCCGCCCTCCCGCACGAGCTGCCTAGCAACCGCGCGGGGCTCGACGGGAAAGAGGGCGCTCGGCCAGAATCTGCCTAGCAACCGCGCGGGGCTGGCCGGGAAGGAGGGCACGGGGGGGGGCCGGGAGCTGCCTAGCAACCGCGCGGGGCTCGATGGGAAAGAGGGCACTTGGCCGGTGCCCAGGATCCGCCGCCATTGGCCCATTGGGTGTTGCTAAGTCATTACCAATAGTAAAGCGATATGTAATCGATAGTAATCGATAATAAGCTTGAGCCTTATTCATGCCTGTAGGTCAGCGCGCTCACCTGAGGCAAGTTTCCTTACCCCACGCGCGCAGGCCTCAGCAGTGAGTCGGAACCCGCTTGTTGGTCGGTTGGCGGATCGCGTCTCCGTGGCTAATAGTCCCTCCAAAACAACAACAGTAATAATAGTAGTAATAATAATCTGGTCACTCAGCCCGCAACTGTTTGTGGGGAGAAACGCACCCGCTGCCCGGGATGGGCGGCCGAGGTTTCGCCCACGGAATACACGGTCGCCACACTTTGGGGTTCTCTGCCGTTGAAGCCCTCGGAGACATCGCGCCGACGCGATACCATAAGGCGCCGCATCAAAGGCGACTGCTGACTCGCCGCCTTGCAGAGAGCGTGCGGGGCTCAGGCCCGGCTCGGCTCTCGCCACCGTGGCCCCCAACCCTGTCGACGCCGCAGGTGCCCCATTAGCGTTCTTAATGATTCACACTGACCAACCTATTCGTTTCAACGTTGAACCACCAAACCTCCCAACCGCTACAGACAGATTGGGGGGGTGGGGTACCAGGCACAGTCAATGGGTGCTGCAATCCTGGCCTACAGGAGGTGCTGTGTATGTGGGTGTATCTCAGAGCTTTATATAGTGGGGTTGTAGGAGGTGCTGTTTCTAGTCTCAATCAATCAGTGTTGCTCTATTCCGGGGCCAGTAGCAGGTGCTGTGTGTGTCAGAGCTTTATACAGTGTAGGAGGTGTTGTGTGTCTGTGTCAGAGCTTTACACAGTGGGGGTTATTGAAGGCGATCTTGTCTCTTTCTCTGTGTGTGTGTGTGTCAGTGCTACCCCTGGGCTGCAGGAGGCGCTGTGTGAGTGTGAGTGTCAGCGCCTATCCCTGACCTGCAGGAGGCGCTGTGTGTGTGTGAGTGTGTGTGTCAGTACTATCCCGGACCTGCAGGAGGCGCTGTGTGTGTGTGTGTGTGTGTGTGAGTGTGTCAGTACTATCCCTGACCTGCAGGAGGCGCTGTGTGTGTGTGAGTGTGTGTGTCAGTACTATCCCTGACCTGCAGGAGGCGTTGTGTGTGTGTGAGTGAGTGTCAGTACTATCCCTGACCTGCAGGAGGCGCTGTGTGTGTGTGTGAGTGTGTGTGTGTCAGTACTATCCCTGACCTGCAGGAGGCGCTGTGTGTGTGTGTGTGTGAGTGAGTGAGTGTCAGTACTATCCCTGACCTGCAGGAGGCGCTGTGTGTGTGTGTGTGTGTGAGTGTGTGTGTGTCAGTACTATCCCTGACCTGCAGGAGGCGCTGTGTGTGTGTGTGTGTGAGTGTGTCAGTACTATCCCTGACCTGCAGGAGGCGCTGTGTGTGTGTGTGTGAGTGTGTCAGTACTATCCCTGACCTGCAGGAGGCGCTGTGTGTGTGTGTGTGAGTGTGAGTGTCAGTACTATCCCTGACCTGCAGGAGGCGCTGTGGCGACTCTCTCTCTCTCTCTCTCTCCCTCTCTCTCTGTGTCTCACCGATTCATCACATGACAGGCGGTGTCTAACATGGCGAGAGGGCGGCGCGGAGTTTCTGGTTGACTTCTTTGCCGGAGAGGGCGGGAGGGAGTGCAGAAGGAGGGAAGGGAGGAAGGAGAGGGACTGGGGTTAGGAGAGAGGGGGAGAGAGGGAGAGGGAGAGAGAGGGAGAGAGAGAGAGGGAGAGGGGGAGAGAGAGAGAGAGAGCGCCTCCCCGGGGCCCGCGGGAGTGGAGAAGCCGCGGCAGAGATGGCGGATCGCGGCCTTGAGATGTGCGCCCTTCCCCGGGAGGTGAGGGACCATCTCGCGGAGCTCGAGCTCGAGCTCTCGGAGGGTAAGTCGGTCACTGTCGGTGTCACTGTCGGTGTCGGTGTCACTGTCGGTGTCACTCAGTCGTTAACGCACAAAAAAAAATCAATCACAGCCTTTATTCCATCTGTTTTATATGTTCTAAAATTCATCATCAACACCGGTTTATAGTTATTATTGTTCATAGTTATTATTGTTTATAGTTATTATTGTTTATAGTTATTATTGTTTATAGTTATTATTAATGTTTATAATAATAATTATTGTTGTTGTTGTTTATAGTTATTATTAATGTTTATAATTATTATTGTTGTTGTTTATAGTTATTAATGTTTATAATTATTATTGTTGTTGTTTATAGTTATTAATGTTTATAATTATTATTGTTGTTTATAGTTATTATTAATGTTTATAATTATTATTGTTGTTTATAGTTATTATTAATGTTTATAATTATTATTGTTGTTGTTTATAGTTATTATTAATGTTTATAATAATTATTATCGTTGTTTATGGTTATTATTAATGTTTATAATTGTATGAGTTACAATTCATGTGTTTATTATTGTTGTTCATGTTTATAGTTATCGTTAGTTATTGTTCGTGTTTATAATTATTAACTTAAGCAGCAAAAAGGCGTTTTTTTCCCATCTATTTATATTGATTTTTTTTGCAGTTTTAAAATCATAATTATTGACCATTTAGTGAAGTCCCGTTTCCCCCAAAAAACACACATCACTTTCCCATCTATTTTTAAAATTATTTCCTTTGCCCTTTTTTGAATGTATTAACATTGAATGAACTCATTGATTAATAAATAAATGAGTGAGGAGAGCGAGTCAGTCATTAGCACCGAAATCAGCAGCTTTTTTTAAAAAAAAATCTATTTTTATTACTTTCTTTGCTATTTTTGAATTTATTAGTGTTGTTATTAATGAATTAATAAGTGGAACTGGAGCCATTAGAGGGTATGTCGGTTATTAGCACAAAGACAACAGATTTTCATGACATTTTTGAATTTATGATGACATGTAGAATATATATATATATATATATATATATATGTGTGTGGAAGTGAAAACAGAACCATTTCTTCCTCCTATCCAACAACAACAAAAAAATTCAAATAAAAAGGATGTAAAAAAATAATGGCAAATGTCTCTCTGCCTTTTCTCTTTTGTTAAATTTTAAATTGCAAAACTCCCTTATTTTTCCCCATCACATTTGCACGGTTTCGGCTACGGGGGCGATTCCCAGAGATTGCATATTTTTCTTTATTTTCTCTCTCTCTCTCTCTCTCTCTCTCTTGCGTTTTCTTTACATTCTGATTGTACTATTTTATTCTTTTTTGTGTGGGAGGGAGAGAAAATATAGTTCTGTTTTCATTGCAATTGCAATCCCACATATATATATATCTGTGTGTGTGCGTAAAAAAAATTGTAATTCTATTTTTAAAACCTTTTTATTATTAATAACACTACTAATAATAATCCTTCCATTTGATATAGCGCCTTATCATGTTGTCGAGATTCAAAGTGCTTCACAGGATACAGTGTACAGTGTGAGGTGGATTGACTGTGTGTTTTGTGGGTGAAACGCAGATTGTTAAATCTGCACTGGAGTGGTTTAAATCCCCAATACCTATTCTTATCCACAACACCTNCCCCCGTCTCCTTCTCCCTCGCGCCCCCACCCCGTCCAACAGCGCAACCCACCCCGAAGCAAACCACTCCCGTCTTCATGTCTCCCTTCAGCCCAACACAGGAGGGAAAATAGTTCAGCTTTGAATCCTGTTGCAAAATGTCTGACTTTGGGGGCAGAATAGAAACACGAGTAGTTGTCTGTCTGTCTGTCTGTCTGTTTTGCTGCCGGTGCTTTCCCTGCATTCTTCCCCCGAGTGTTTTAATATATTGCCTCGCTCTGTGCGTCCCTGGGAAAGCTGCTTCTCCCTCACTCCCCAGTATTTCGTGCTGCCTCCTCTACTCCCCCCCGGGATCAGAGATCGTGTCGCTGATGTGCAAACGCTTCTATGTGAATATTGCTCCTTATCCCTGAGCCAATTCTATGTAAATATTGTACATTTCAGTTGCTCAGGAGGGATTTAAATGGAGATATTTGACCTCTCTTTCTCCCCCCACCGCGGCCCCATGTAGGATGGGCTTTTTGTTAATATTGGGAATTTGCTTCCCCCCTGGAATAATACCACCATCTCTTAGACTAGGGGGTGAGGGGAATGGCTTCTACAGGCTTATGGTGCCTTTCCTCCGCCTCCACCCCCCGCCCCCGCCCCCAGCCGCCTGCGGGTTGTCCAGCGAGCCGATAGGGCTTTGGCTCGCAGGGTTAACAGGATGACTCCCTGCCCCCAGTGACCGGTCGGCCCTTCCGGGTCCCGCCGATGAGCCAGGCCGGGCTGCGCAGTCATCGGCAGTGAGCGCCCTGGAATACTGCGGACACCTCCTGTCTCAGGAACCGGACGAGAGACCGCCACAGAGGGCTCGATTCCGACGTTCCATTGCCAAGGACGTCACCTCGGGGCCAGTTCAGCACTTAACCCGAGTTTGTGCTCATCAGTGCAGCGATTGCGGTTACTCGCTTTGGCGGAGGAGCAGCCAAGCTGACAATGACGTTCCGTTTCTCTTTTTCGATCCACAGCGACAGGCTCTTGTGGTTGCGTGTTTTTTCTATTTGAGGCTCGTTGTTTCTGTAACAGACGCAGGTGGGGTGTTGGGTAATGGCTCCGTCACCACATTGAGAGCCACTCTGTTGTTTCTGTTCTCGTTGGAAGTGGTGCAACTGAGGAAATGATTCGAGGGAGAGGAGCAGAGAAGGGGGGAAGGGGAAGGAAATAAGTTACTCGAGCAGGGTTTGAGCTCACAGTCCAGCTTGACTCTCCAGTGCAATCTTTGAGGGCTGTAGTTCAGTGGTTAGAGGACTCGTCTCACAAGTGACAGGACCTGGGTTCGATTCCCGGGCAAGACCTTAGGAAAGTTTCCTTACTCCACACCCGCTCCTCTGTTTACCTAACAGTACGTAGGAACCAGTTGTTAGTCGATTGGCAGATCGCTTTCCGGGGGTAATAATCCCTTCAAAAAATAATAATAATCATCGTGCTTTGTTCACTCAATCCCAAGGCTGTTCATGAGACACAAAATATTTAGTCAATTCGCTTTACAGTAAATTCTCTGAAGCGCTTTGAGACGTCTCGAAGACTTGATAAGACGCTATATCAAATTAAGGGTTATTTATTATTGTCTCACGCAGTGATAAGGCACTATAGCCAATGCAAGGAACATTATTATCTGTGGTGCCGTGCTTCAGACAAGGTGTTAAACCAAGCTCCTGCCTCCCTGTTCAATTGTATGTTAAAAATCCCATGGCATGATTGGAAAAGAGGATTGTTCCTGGCTATCAATACTCCAGATAAATTGCTCTTACAGCTGTTTGTGGGCAAATACAGTTACTGTAATCACCGGACAGTGAATGGTAAAATGCCGCACTCTGCATTTGATATAGAGCCTTAACCCGTCATCAAAACGCCTCGAAGCGCTTCATAGGATTTTGTGGTAAAATGTAGTGACTGTGCATCTGTCGACGAACGCTCCAGCTATTTAACACACAGCAAATTATCTGCGAGGTGCATTGAGATGCTTTGATGCTGTATCAATTGCAAAGATTATTTATTATTAATTATGAGCAATATGGCTTGTCTGTAAATCTAATACTTGCATCTGGAAGACATCAAAGCGTTTCAGAGTCAGTTATTTCGAAGTGCGGTGACTAACGGAGGCAAAACGCACAGCAACGGCCCACGCACAGTGAATTAAACGAGTGCCAAATGGATGTGGATTTGAGTGAGGGAGGATTACTGCCCGGGATATTGGGAGATACTGTGCTCCCTGTTTCTCTAAATAGTGGCATGGGATCTTTATTATGTAGAGTCCTGTAGTGCAGTGGTTAATGCGCTCGCCTTGCAAGTGAAAGGACCCGGGTTCGACTCCCAGGCAGGGTGAAACTTTAGACAAGTTTCCTAACTCATACGTACATAGAAACAGGAATAGGCTATTCAGCCCTTCGAGGCTGTTCTATAAGATCACAGCTGATCTGTACCTCAAGTCCAATTACCCGCCCTTGCCCCATATCCCTTAATACCTTAACGTAACAAATATTTACCTACCTCCATCTTGAAAATGTGAACTCCACACGCATGCCTGTTCACCTGGCCGTAAGTAGGAACCCGGTTCAGTCAATCGGTGGATTGCTTTCCAGGGGTAATAATCCCTTTTTTTAAAAAGAAATTGTTCACTCAATCCATGACTGTTTGTGGGACACTGCTGTGCACAATCGGCTGCTGCGTTTTTCCCACAAAATACAGTATACAATCAATTCGCTTCACAGTATATTCTGTGAAGCGCTTTGAGCCTTCTGCAACAATGTGATTAGGTGCCATATCAAATGCAAGGATTATTATTATTTTTATTTGTCAGTGCAGGCAGACAGGAGCACAGAGCCAGACTGAGTCGGCGCTTTTAGTATTGGGACTGAGGCAGTGTGTTTGGTTACAGATATCAATTCCTTCTCCCTTGACTCAGAGGTTCCACTTCAAATCAATGACCTCCGTGACGTGATTTGTTAAGATTTGCTATATCTGCTCTCTTCCAATCTCGGTTAGTGGCTTGGCTCGGGTTGGGAGAATTTCACATCGAAAATCAATACAAATTCATCAATGCTTCTCTGACTCGGAAAGAACTTACACAGCGCTCCTCATGCGGGATAACGTCCCAGAGCACTCGACTGTGGTGGAGCACGACGCCGAACCAGGGGAGGGGGAGGTGACCGTAGACACGGTTGAAGAGGAAGGTCTTCAGGCCCAATCTGAAGATGGGCAAGGCAAGATAGAAGTGTGTTCCAGAGTTTAGGGGCACAGTGGCTGAAAATATGGCTATGGATGGTGGAACGAGGGCACGAGAGACAAGCAGGAGCCAGTCGAGCGGAGGCAGTGGGTAGTGGGTTGGGGAGTAAGCAGAT